ATACACCATATTATATAATCATTAGTGGAAAAGATTAATAACGTGGAGACACAGTGAGAGAAGGATGCTATAAGAATCACAGCATTAAAACCTGGGAATATGACAGCAGACAGAGAAAGGGACAGACCCATACAGAAAGATATAAAAATAGACACAGACAGACAGAAAGAAGACAGAAAAGACAGACAGACAGAAAGAAGAAACAGACAGACATACAGAGATAAAAATTATATAAAAATGAGACAAAACCACACCTAATGGAGTAACAATGACCGCCTCATTCTCTGGGGTCTTAATGAACAATCAGAGAGAGAGAGAGAGAGAGAGAGAGAGAGAGAGAGGGAGAGAGAGAGAGAGGGGGGGAGAGAGAGAGAGAGAGAGAGACTCACTCCTAATGCCGGGCAGCTAAAGATTAAGGGGAGGAGCGGTTGCCACGCCTCCCTACCTCGTGGAGCACCTTTCCTCCCACAGTGAGAGACGGGAGAGAATTAGAGAATGTAAGAAACAAAAACTACAGAAAGAGAGAGAGAGAGAGAGAGAGAGAGAGAGAGAGAGAGAGAGAGAGAGAGAGAGAGAGAGAGAGAGAGAGAGAGAGAGAGAGAGAGAGAGAGAGAGATAGGGAGAGAGAGAGAGAGAGTAAAGTAAATCCAAAGATGAGAATAAGATAAAGTAGAAATGAATGAGGAAAACTACAGAAAGTAAAAGTGAATGAGGAAAAAAGTAAAGTAGATATGAATGAGGAAGAAAACTACAAAAAAAGGAATGATTGAGGAAAAAAGTAGAGAAAGTAAAAATGAATGAAGACAAACTAAAGAAGGCAGAAGTGAATGAGGAAAAAATAAAGAAAGAAGTAAATTAAAAGATATGGTAAAGACAAAGAGAATAAAGAAATAAATTATAGAAATAAATCTAATAAGAGATTTTATAGCGTAATAAAAAAAATAACAATATGGTGTATGTAGAGAGAAACAGAGGCAGGAGACAGAGAGACAGAGAGACAGAGAGGAAAAAAGGTCGAATCTTTGGCCAAACTTAACTGATGAATAAGACAAAGAAAACAAGTTAGCCAGAGCTGAACCCAAGCAAATTGTCTGGCTACAAAATATACCAACAGAGACATTTTGAACACGTAATATAAAGAAGTAACTTGGTGATTCACACACACACACACACACACACACACACACACACACACACACACACACACACACACACACACACACACACATACACAAATGTTTCAAACCTACAATGAAAAAAGCCAATGGAGGATAACAAAGAGTCGTACCAGACAACACAAGTATTGTTTCGTATAACAACACTGACAACACTGTTTACACCTTATACCAGGTAATAATGCGTGTGTGTTACTGATTTAGACCAAGTGGATAAGCCCCTGCCTCGTAAGTCCAAAGTATTTTTTTTTGGTAAGTTTCTAAATTACGAGTAATCATGCAGATATCCCTAAAAAGGTATATATATATATATATATATATATATATATATATATATATATATATATATATATATATATATATATATATATATATATATATATATATTTTTATATTCACCTGACTCAAAAATATAGAGAAAAAACAAATATGAATAATTAATAAAACCTGGATAAATAACTGAAAAGATATGAATCTCGAAATAGTCTGTCATTTTAGTATCCCTATTTCAGCTATCTCTCATAGCTCACGCGAGACAACACCCAGACAAGTAAAGAAACACCTAAGGTCCTTGACACACACACAACTGTTGTACTGAACCTCTGTAACATTTCTCCTCCCTACCCCCGGAAAGAAGGAGGGAGGGAGGGGAGAAAGGGGGAGGGGGAAAACTGAGGAGGGGAAAAGTGGGGGAGGGGAAGAAAGTGGGGAGGGGAGGGAAAGTGAGAGGGGGAAAGTGTTGCACAATATGCTGGCTGGTAATACATAATACGTAAAGTCTCGGTGAAATAACCAGTTATGAGAAAATGCCACACACCAATAAAGTATACAGAACTTATAACCTTCACTCACAAGACGACCAAAGGTTGTTGTGTCTAAACTCGTGAATACAGGGTAGAAAAAGGTTGAGTGTGTCACCTAACTATCGTGAGTCAGTATGTGGTGACACAGGTACAGTATGTGGTGAGTCACAGGCACAGTATGTGGTGAGTCACAGGTACGGTATGTGGTGAGTCACAGGTACGGTATGTGGTGAGTCACAGGCACGTATGTGGTGAGTCACAGGTACAGTATGTGGTGAGTCACAGGTACAGTATGTGGTAAGTCACAGGTACAGTATGTGGTGAGTCACAGGTACAGTATGTGGTGAGTCACAGGTACGGTATGTGGTGAGTCACATGTACAGTATGTGGTGAGTCACAGGTACAGTATGTGGTGAGTCACAGGTACAGTATGTGGTAAGTCACAGTACAGTATGGGTGAGTCACAGGTACAGTATGTGGTGAGTCACAGGTACAGTATGGTGAGTCACAGGTACAGTATGTGGTGAGTCACAGGTACAGTATGTGGTGAGTCACAGGTGCCAGTATGTGGTGAGTCACAGGTACAGTATGTGGTGAGTCACAGGTACAGTATGGTGAGTCACAGGTACAGTATGTGGTGAGTCACAGGTACAGTATGTGGTGAGTCACAGGTACAGTATGTGGTGAGTCACAGGTACAGTATGTGGTGAGTCACAGGTACAGTATGTGGTGAGTCACAGGTACAGTATGTGGTGAGTCACAGGTACTAATAAGACGTCACCTGGACAGCAGACACCGGCCCCCTCCTACACTGTGTCTGGCGTCCACTTTTTTTTTTCTCTGTGACAAAATTCAATCATAATCTACATCGAATATCTCACAGAACAAAATAATATACATTTTATGCATTTACATATTTACCCTCGGAATATAAGTGTCCAAGAGCCATCAGAAGAACACCGAAAAAAAATAAAAATATTTACACTATTATCCGCCGAACAAACTTGTGCTTTTCCCCCCACACACCACAGAGAACATTCATTCTATACGCTCTTAATTTCTATTGGTCAATTCCCCACGCGATGTTAAAGCCCCAGGTAGCTACAGTATTTACCCCCATAAAGAACCTTATTTAAATAGCATTATGCATCCCTGTCTTTACTCTCACTCTGGCGTGCGAACATGAGGACGCCATCTAACTAAAGCTGCACTCAACGCCCAGCAACACACTGACTTAGGTGCTCAAGAAGGCACGTTGTTCACTCTTCTATACCTCAACACGGAAGGAATACCTGAGGCCATTTCTAAGTCAAGATGTGGTGAGGTATGTGACTTGATACAGGAGGAGAGGGGACGAAAACACAGGGGAGGGGCAGGGTGGGGAGGGCAGGTGGGAGGGGCAGGTGGGGAGGGGCAGGGTGAGGAGGGGCAGGGCGAGGAGGAGCAGGGTGTGGAGGGGTAGGCGGAGGGGTAGGGCGAGGAGGGGCAGGGTGGAGGGGTAGGGCGAGGAGGGGCAGGGTGTGGGGGTAGGGCGAGAGGGCAGGGCGAGGAGGGGCAGGGTGTGAGGGCTAGGGCGAGGAGGGGTAGGGTGAGGAGGGCAGGGAGTGGTAAGAAAAGTGAGAAGAGGCAAGGAAAGGTAGAGAGGAGGAATGGAGAGGGTAGGGAGAGGATGGTGAGTACTCCATATGGTTCAGGTCGAGGTGTCACGTGACGAGTGTAAGTGGTGAACACAAATAACCAACCTGTCTAGGTGGCACTGACAGCCGGCACCCTTCACCTACCTCCCCCGTCACCACCGTTTCCTCGTAGCCTCCCAGCCACCGTCGCCATAGTTCCTCTCCATCCTCTTGTGCAGCACCCAAGGGAAGGAAGCCTGGCTGCCTCATCGCCTCTCCCCCAGAGTGTTGACAACATCTACACCTTCACCGCAGAGTTTCCAACCCATAGTAACTTACGCCCTCCACCGAGTCAGTATTTAACTGAATTTATTTGTTGGGTTTTCGACCAGACCTAGGCACTGTAGTTTAAACTGGGATTAGTTTGGGCCTTTTTTCACGTAAAAATTTAAGTATAAGATGAGGAGTTTTGGCAAATCCGCAAATGTACACCTTTGAGGGACAGCACTGCCGTGACGGGTGCTCAGGTATGGAGACGAGCTGCCAAAACATGAGGTGGAGACATGTTGATTCTACCTTACATTTTAGGTTTCTTCTAGTGAAACTATCCCTGTGTCTTACTGGCTCACTTCTGAAAGTTTGATATTTATTTGGTAGTTTAAGAGAGAGTGAGGGTCACGTGCAGTACACGCTCGTCACCCACGATGTTATAGCGACATTCGATACCAAATTTTTCAAGGTCCGTCTCATTGACAAATCATTATAGAATTTCTACAATCGAAAAGTGATATTTTTTATTTGCCTTAAGTTAACCTGACCTAATTTAACCCAGCATTACAAGTGACGGTCTGGGATACTGTATGAGTTCACATCGTTCACCTGTCGTATAAAGGTGTGCCAGGTGTCTCCTTAGTTTACTTAGAGATCTCCGAACAACAGCCAGATAAGATAAGAGAGCTGATGAACGACAGACGGCCCTTGTACTAGTGAAGAACACACAATGATCTTCAACATGTAATCAGTCAAGAGGTTTCTGTGTAAAGATTTTATTACCGTACGCGATGTTCTCCCACGAGCGGACACTTGCCTCTTTATTTACATACAGACATATCCATAATTCACTACCTCTAACCAACGTCACCACGGCTGTCTCTTCTATCAAATATACCCGGTACTACCACCTCTTCCAGTAAGTATAGTTAATGTCATCGCTCCAATAAGTATCTTTAAGGAAGAGTCCGATGAATGTCAGAATAAACACCGCGACTCCTATTGTCTCAGTATGGTTATCAAAATCTTTCATCTGTTGTGTCGTCTTATCTCACGTCAAAATAGTAAATATATTTTTTTTTGGTGCGAGTGACTTTTATTACACAAGTCCAATTTTGTGTCCTTTGTCAATGAGGATGAGCTGCTACCAAGTCCACTACCCGCGGCTATTACTCAACCTCTACCCCACGCCTCCCCTGTACCTGCGCCTCCACGACCCCTATCCTTACGTGCCCCCAGTCCCCACGCCTCCCTGTACCTGCGCCTCCACGACCCCATCCCCACGTGCCCCCCTGCGCCCACGCCTCCCCCGTACCTGCGCCTCCACGATCCCATCCCTACGTGCCCCCAGTGTCCACGCCTCCCCTGTACCTGCGCCTCCACGATCCCATCCCCCCATGTGCCCCCCCCCAGTGCCCACGCCTCCCCTGTACCTGCGCCTCCACGATCCCATCCCCCTACGTGCCCCCCAGTGCCCACACGCCTCCCCCCTGTACCTGCGCCTCCACGACCCCATCCCCTACGTGCCCCAGCGTCCACGCCTCTGTACCTGCGCTTCCACGATCCCATCCCCACGTGCCCCCAGTGCCCACGCGCCTCTCCCTGTACCTGCGCCTCCACGATCCCATCCCCTACGTGCCCCCAGTGTCCACGCCTTCCCCTGTACCTGCGCCTCCACGACCCCATCCCCTACGTGCCCCCAGTGCGCCCACGCCTCCCCTGTACCTGCGCCTCCACGATCCCATCCCCCCTACGTGCCCCCAGTGCCCACGCCTCCCCTGTACCTGCGCCTCCACGATCCCATCCCCGTGCCCCCCAGTGCCCACGCCCCCTGTACCTGCGGCCTCCACGATCCCATCCCCACGTGCCCCCCAGTGCCCACGCCTCCCTGTACCTGCGCCTCCACGAGATCCCATCCCCCACGTGCCCCCCAGTGCCCACGCCCTCCCCTGTACCTGCGCCTCCTACCTATTCCCATCCCCTACGTGCCCCCCAGTGCCCACGCCTCCCCTGTACCTGGGTGCCTCCACGACCCCATCCCCTACGTGCCCCCAGTGCCCACGCCTCCCCTGTACCTGCGCCTCCACGACCCCATCCCCTACGTGCCCCCAGTGCCCACGCCTCCCCCTGTACCTGCGCCTCCACGATCCCATCCCCTACGTGCCCCCCCAGTGCCCATGCCTCCCTGTACCTGCGCCTCCACGACCCCATCCCCATGTGCCCCCAGCTCCACGCCTCCCCCCTGTACCTGGGTGCCTCCACGACCCCATCCCCTACGTGCCCCCAGTGCCCACGCCTCCCCTGTACCTGCGCCCACGACCCCATCCCCATGTGCCCCCCCAGTCCACGCCTCCCTGTACCTGCGCCTCCACGACCCCATCCCTACGTGCCCCCCAGCCCACGCCTCCCCTGTACCTGCGCCCCCACGACCCCATCCCCATGTGCCCCCAGTGCACGCCTCCCCTGTACCTGCGCCTCCACGACCCCATCCCCTACGTGCCCCCAGTGTCCACGCCTCCCCTGTACCTGCGCCTCCACGACCCCATCCCCACAAAGCTCCCCCCCAGTGCCCACGCCTCCCCCTGTACCTGTGCCTCCACGATCCCATCCCCTACGTGCCCCAGTGCCCACGCCTCCCCTGTACCTGCGTGCCTCCACGACCCCATCCCCTACGTGCCCCAGTGCCCACGCCTCCCCTGTACCTGCGCCCCACGACCCCATCCCCTACGTGCCCCCCCAGTGCCCACGCCTCCCCCTGTACCTGCGCCTCCACGATCCCATCCCCTACGTGCCCCCCAGTGCCCACGCCTCCCCTGTACCTGCGCCTCCACGACCCCATCCCCATGTGCCCCCAGTGCCCACGCCTCCCGTACCTGCGCCTCCACGACCCCATCCCTCATGTGCCCCCAGTGTCCACGCCTCCCCTGTACCTGCGCCTCCACGACCCCATCCCCACGTGCCCCCCAGTGCCCACGCCTCCCCTGTACCTGCGCCTCCACGACCCCATCCCCATGTGTGCCCCCAGTGCCCACGCCTCCCCTGTACCTGCGCCTCCACGACCCCATCCCCTACGTGCCTCCCCCAGTGCCCACGCCTCCCCTGTACCTGCCCACGACCTCTTTCCATCCCCACTGCCCCCAGTACCCACGCCTCCCTCTGTACCTGCGCCTTAATGATCCCATCCCCTACGTGCCCCCAGTGCCCACGCCTCCCTGTACCTGCGCCTCCACGACCCCATCCCCTACGTGCCCCCAGTGCCCACGCCTCCCCTGTACCTGCGCCCACGACCCCATCCCTACGTGCCCCCAGTGCCCACGCCTCCCCCTGTACCTGCGCCTCCACGATCCCATCCCCTACGTGCCCCCCCAGTGCCCACGCCTCCCCTGTACCTGCGCCTCCACGACCCCATCCCCTACATGTGCCCCCCCCCAGTGCCCACGCCTCCCCCTGTACCTGCGCCTCCACGATCCCATCCCTACGTGTGCCCCGGTGCCCACGCCTCCCCTACCCAAGTCCCCATCATTCCCCATCCCCATGTGCCCCCAGTGCCCACGCCTCCTGTACCTGCGCCTCCACGACCCCCATCCCCATGTGCCCCCAGTGTCCAATACGCCTCCCCTGTACCTGCGCCTCCACGATCCCATCCCCTACGTGCCCCCAGTGTCCACGCGCCTCCCCCTGTACCTGCGCCTCCACGACCCCCATCCCCATGTGCCCCCCAGTGCCCACGCCTCCCCTGTACCTGCGCCTCCACGATCCCATCATCCCCTACGTGCCCCCAGTGCCCACGCCCCTCCCCTGTACCTGGCCTCCACGACCCCATCCTGCTACGTGCCCCCCAGTGTCCACGCCTCCCCCCACTCCAGCCTCCACGACCCCATCCCTACGTGCCCCCAGTGCCCACGCCTCCCCTGTACCTGCGCCTCCCCGATCCCATCCCTACGTGCCCCCCAGTGCCCACGCCTCCCCTGTACCTGCGCCTCCACGACCCCATCCCCACGTGCCCCCAGTGCCCACGCCTCCCCCTGTACCTGCGCCTCCACGATCCCATCCCCCATGTGCCCTGGCAGTGTCCACGCCTCCCTGTACCTGTGCCTCCACGATCCCATCCCCTCATGTGCTCCCCCCAGTGTCCACGCCTCCCCTGTACCTGCGCCTCCACGACCCCATCCCCTACGTGCCCCCAGTGCCCACGCCTCCCTGTACCTGCGCCTCCACGACCCCATCCCCTACGTGCCCCAGTGCCCACGCCTCCCCCTGTACCTGCGGTGCCTCCACGACCCCATCCCCTACGTGCCCCCAGTGCCCACGCCTCCTCTGTACCTGCGCCTCCACGATCCCATCCCCTACGTGCCCCCCAGTGCCCACGCCTCCCCTGTAACCTGCGCCTCCACGACCCCATCCCCTACGTGCCCCCAGTGCCCACGCCTCCCCCTGTACCTGCGCCTCCACGGCCCCATCCCCTACGTGCCCCCCAGTGCCCACGCCTCCCTGTACCTGCGCCTCCACGATCCCATCCCCTACGTGCCCCCCCAGTGCCCACGCCTCCCCTGTACCTGCGCTCACGACCCCATCCCCACGCCGTGCCCCCTGCAGTGCCCAGCCTCCCCGTACCTGCGCCTCCCACGATCCCATCCCCTACGTGCCCCCCCCGCCGGTGCCCACGCCTCCCCCTGTACCTGCGCCCCACGACCCTATCCCCGTGCCCCCAGTGCCCACGCCGCCTCCCCTGTACCTGCGCCTCCACGACCCCATCCCCTACGTGCCCCCCCCAGTGTCCACGCCTCCCCTGTACCTGCGCCTCCACGATCCCATCCCCTACGTGCCCCCCAGTGTCCACGCCTCCCCTGTACCTGCAGCCCACGACTCCCATCCCCTAGTGCCCCCTCTAGTGCCTTTACGCCTCCCCTGTACTCTGCGCTCTACGATCCCATCCCCTTACGTGGCCCCCGGTGCGCCCACGCCTCCCTGTACCTGCGCCTCCACGACCCCATCCCTACGTGCCCCCCCCCAGTGCCCCACGCCCCCTGTACCTAAAAGTCGCACGACCCCATCCCCCATGTGCCCCCAGTGCCCACGCCTCCCCCTGTACCTGCGCCTCCACGATCCCATCCCCCTACGTGCCCCCCAGTGCCCACGCCTCCCCTTCTGTACCTGCGCCTCCACGACCCTATCCCCTTACGTGCCCCCATAGTGCCCACGCCTCTGTACCTGCGCCTCCACGATCCCAGCATCCCCTACGTGCCCCCAGTGTCCCTAGCCTCCTGGGTACCTGCGCCTCCACGATCCCATCCCCTACAAAGCCCCCCAGTGTCCACGCCTCCCTGTACCTGCGCCTCCACGACCCCATCCCCTACGTGCCCCCCAGTGCCCACGCCTCCCCTGTACCTGCGTGCCTCCACGACCCCATCCCCATGTGCTCCCCAGTGTCCACGCCTCCCCCGTACCTGCGCCTCCACGACCCCATCCCCACGTGCCCCCAGTGCCCACGCCTCCCCTGTACCCGCGCCCACGATCCTATCCCCTTACGTGCCCCCAGTGCCCACGCCTCCCCTGTACCTGCGCCTCCACGATCCCATCCCCATGTGCCCCTCAGTGCCCACGCCTCCCCCCTGTACCCGCGCCCACGACCCCATCCCCACGCAGCCCCCAGTGTCCACGCCTCCCTCTACCTGCGCCTCCACGACCCCATCCCTACGTGCCCCCAGTGCCCACGCCTCCCCTGTACCTGCGCCTCCACGATCCTGGTCCCCTTACGTGCCCCCAGTGCCCACGCCTCCCCTGCACCGCGCCTCCACGATCCCATCCCCTACGTGCCCCCCAGTGCCCATCAGCCTCCCTGTACCTACAGGCCTCCACTTCCATCTCTAATCCCCATGTGCCCCAGTGCCCACACGCCTCCCCTGTACCTGCGCCTCCACGATCCCATCCCCTTACGTGCCCCCAGTGCCCACGCCTCCCCTGTACCTGCGCCTCCACGACCCCATCCCCTACGCAGTCTCCCCCAGTGCCCACGCCTCCCCTGTACCTGCGCCTCCACGACCCCATCCCCACGTGCCCCCAGCCCACGCCTCCCCCTGTACCTGCGCCCACTGAGCACCATCCCCTACGTGCCCCCAGTGCCCACGCCTCCCCTGTACCTGCGCCTCCACGACCCCATCCCCTACGTGTGCCCCCAGTGCCCACACGCCTCCCCTGTACCTGCGCCTCCACGATCCCATCCCCTACGGGTGCCCCCCTCTCTTTGTGCGCCCCACGCCTCCCCCTGTACCTGCGCCTCCACGACCCTTATCCCCTTACGTGCCCCCTTGAAGTGCCTTACTGCCTCCTCCCTGTACCTGCAGCTCTCCATGACCCCATCATCCCCTACGCCCCCAGTGCCCACTGCCTCCCCTGTACCTGCGCCTCCACGAGCCCCATCCCCTACGTGCCCCCCAGTGTCCACGCCTCCCCTGTACCTGCGCCTCACTATCCATCCCCTACGTGTGCCCCCCAGTGTCCACGCGCCTCCCCTGTACCTGCGCCTCCACGACCCCATCCTCACGTGCCCCCCAGTGCCCACGCCTCCCTGTACCTGCGCCTCCACGATCCTATCCCCATGTGCCCCCAGTGCTCCACGCCTCCCCTGTACCTGCGCCTCCACGATCCCATCCCCCACGTGCCCCCAGTGCCCACGCCTCCCCTGTACCTGCGCCTCCACGACCCCATCCCCTACGTGCCCCCAGTGCCCACGCCTCCCCTGTACCCGCGCCTCCACGACCCCATCCCCTACGTGCCCCCAGTGCCCACGCCTCCCCTGTACCTGCGCCTCCACGATCCCATCCCCATGTGCCCCCAGTGCCCATCACGCCTCCCCTGCACCTGCGCCTCCACGACCCCATCCCCACGTGCCCCCTTCCAGTGCCCAGCCTCCCCTGTACCTGCGCCTCCACGAGACCCCATCCCCTACGTGCCCCCCCCAGTGCCCACGCCTCCCCCTTCTGTACCTGCGCCTCCACGACCCTATCCCCTACGTGCTCCCCACAGTGCCCACGCCTCCCCTGTACCTGCGCCTCCACGATCCCATCCCCTACGTACCCCCCAGTGCCCACGCCTCCCTTTGTACCTGCGCCCACGACCTCATCCCCTACATGTGCCCCAGTGCCCACGCCTCCCCTGTACCTGCGCCTCCACGATCCCATCCCCTACGTGCCCCCAGTGCCCACGCCTCCCCTGTACCCGCGCCTCCACGATCCCATCCCCTACGTGCCCCCAGTGTCCACGCTCTCCCCTGTACCTGCGCCTCCACGATCCCATCCCTTACAAAAGCCCCCCCCAGTGTCCACGCTCTCCCTGTACCTGCGCCTCCACGACCCCATCCCCATGTGCCCCCAGTGCCCACACGCCTCCCCTGTACCTGCGCCTCCACGATCCTATCCCCCTACGTGCCCCCCCTTCTTCAGTGTCCATACGCCCCTGTACCTGCGCCTCCACGATCCCATCCCCTACGTGCCCCCAGTGCCCACGCCTCCCCTGTACCTGCGCCTCCACGACCCCCATCCCCTACGTGCCCCCCAGTGCCCACGCCTCTGTACCTGCGCCCCCACGACCCCCATCCCCTACGTGCCCCCAGTGTCCACGCCTCCCCTGTACCTCCGCGCCCACGACCATCCTTACGTGCCCCCAGTGCCCACGCCTCCCCTGTACCTGCGCCTCCACGATCCCATCCCCTACGTGCCCCCAGCGCCCACGCCCCCTGTACCTGCGCCCCCACGACCCCATCCCCCCATGTGCCCCCCAGTGCCCACGCCTCCCCTGTACCTGCGCCTTCCACGTGACCCCATCCCCTACGTGCCCCCCCAGTGCCACGCTCTGCACCTGCGCCTCCACGACCCCATCCCCTACGTGCCCCCCAGTGCCCACGCCTCCCCTGTACTCGCGCCTCCACGATCCCATCCC